TCACCTAGTACGTGCAGCGGATTTTGTGTCTTGTGTGTCTACGCAGTTTTTCTTGCCCTCACAGTGGGAGCTCTTTGTTGAGGGATGGGAGGATCTCCTGCCAACGTGCAAAATATCTCCACTCCAAATTCATTTGTTCCACCGTTATTCTCACAGGATGGTGGATGGAGATTGCATAGGGCCGCCCTGAAAAACACCAACTTCGTATTGAGTCCATTCCATCTGCCGAACTATCAAGCTGGTGGTTAGACCCAATGAATTGCGTCAACTTTGAAAACTTGCCAAATGGGTAGTAAAGTAGACATCTTCATCAAGATGAAATCTGATTTCCCGAATTGTACGAGGCTGTTGATCTTGAACAAGCCACGGCTGAACTAAGCGGTCTTCTAGATGTCTTTAAGACACCTTTGCTGTGCTGGCCTAAACAATAAAATAGAAGTCACGGGATTGATCATAACAATGACACCTGTGTGACCAAGGGCATGTTTTCTGAAAGATCAACCACGCAGAGTGTGGTGGATATGTTACATCAGCAGCGACAGTAATTTAAGAATAGCAATACCAAGTAACAGGAAACCACAAAAGCATAACATTACCAGTGCTAAGCTGCTGTAAAACACAACTATTCACAGAACGACAGGCTCGAAATACAACATGCAATCGTCAAAGCGCACCATATTCCAACGGATTCAGAACGCATTCAATTGATAGGAGGGCCGGGGAACCCGAATCATCCTAATCATTTCCGAATCATGTTGATTCGGACTCGGATCCAAGATCCAAGATCCAAGATTGCCCACATGTCTTGCCCGGGAATCTTTGATCTTGGGTGCATACTGTACGACAGCAGTCAATCTAAACGGAAGTTTTGTGCTTCTCGGTGAATCAAACTTCGACTGTTGAGTCATGAAATTGTCACACTGCAGATGAAATGACTTGGCATCGATGTCAGCCGTTTGGGAACCAGAAATCAATGGATGTGTGGAGTTCGTTGCACCTTGTCAATGCTTCGAACAACAAGGAGTCGCTGCCAGTCTGTAGCTACTTTAGTTAAGTCATGCATGTACATTGTTTGCCATCAAGATGCGACCAAGATGTTCGTTTCAAGCATTTCAATGCATCTCCGAACTAGTGATCCGGCAAAAACGAGAAATGGGGTTACCAAGGCGAAACAAATGCGTCTTGGAACAAATTGGAAGAAGCCTTGCACACAACACAACTTGCATGAGGTGAATGGGGGCCAAACACATCAATGTATCCCGTCCGTTCTGAGCCCGCACCTGCAGTAGGATGTCGAGAAAAATGCCGCCGGAGGTACGGTAGTGGCATGCCGAGCGAGACCATCATGCAGATACTGGGCCATCCGGCATGAAGTGACAGATTATGCTTTTTCATGAGTACTCTGTTCGTCTTGTTGCAGGTGACATGGTCCCCTTCATCACAGATACAGACCTCTACATAACAGATCTTTGTGTTCAAATCGCAGTGCAGGATCGGCCGACGAAGCTACAAGAGAACATGCGAGAGCAATGGTGAGAGCCAGTGCGGCCAGGTTCTCGCCACCTCGCCACGAATGGCACCGCAAGTAATCGAGCGCTGTGTCACCGACACAGCACATCTGCTGCATGATCGGTGACTCAACCCGTCATTCGCAGAGCGCAGAGGTGCCGGCAGTGCTGACCGTGTGTCGGTCACCACTGCTGCAGGGAAGTGCCCTGGCGGGGAGCTTAGAAGGGTCCAGCAGGTGCTGGCATGTGCTCTCGCGGCTCTGGCGCCTCGAAGACGGCTGACCGTGCGAGGATTCGATCTTGAACTTCTTGTCCCGAGTAGCACACCATCGGGAGCACTGCCCCTTCGAGAAGCTGCGGCAGGAGAAGCGCAGTGCCGCCAGCTTCTGCCAGTATTTCGAAGCTTGCCGTGGTATTGAGTCAGGAGTTGAGCAATACCTCCTTCATCGCAACAGCTCAAGCCCAGGCAGGAATATTGAATGCACAGTTCCTACATAATTTGTGGATTGGCTCTCCCTAACTTAGCACTTCCTGCTGTTGTTGTGTCCATGCAGGCTCAACGACACGCCGCTCTGGCAGGTCTTGCTCAGGAATGGACTCGCAGCGAGATGTGGAAGTATTCGAACTGTATGTGCCCCAAACACCAGACTCAGCGCCCGGCTCGCCATGATTTTGCGTGGTGTTCCTGTATTTGCCCTGGCCCTGGTTCATCCCCGCCTGCCGCTCCGTCCTGCGGAGTGGGTTTTGTCCTCGCCTACCTCCTCGAATTACTTGTCGTCTTAAACCTCACATCTTCCTCGCAGTTGCTGTATTGAACGAAAATGGTAACTTGCAGTTCTTCTCAAGAGAAGAGAGCTCACTTGCAGCACTCAGCTGTGTAATTGTGCCCGGGCCTGCATCCCAAAGTAACGTTCATCTTGAGGTTTGTCGGCGGAAGCAGTACGTACCAACAGGTTCCGAAGCCAGGGTATCTCAGTCTGAACCGAGCAGAACACTGTGGCATGTTCAGAAGGGAATACAGACTTGTCATGTTGTGTCAGTTCCAGTCCTCTTGCCATCACTTTGCAGAGTATCACGCAAGATGACAGGTCATCGGAACCCTAGCGAAGGGCCTGGCTGCAGTAACAACATCTTCTGCACCCGACGTGCAGAAGGAGCGACCTGCCTCTTTCATGAATGGCTCACGCCTTTCCGCCTGCAGGCTGCCGTGCAGCACTTCTTGGAGAGTGTGAAGAAGACCTCTGGCAACCCTGCACCCGAGGCGTGCTCGCAGGGTTTGCTCTTATGTCCCCTGCCAACGGAGAGTGGTGCCAGGTGATGCATCAGTGTGAGTTGTCTCTGCTGGCATTGGGTGAAACTGGAAAGTGCGCCACAAGCGGCTGGACGTGTGTTTCCATATCATGTCACACGAAGCGACTCGCCACATCTCGCTACCAGGTATGTGGATCTTTCTGGGGTTCCGGGCTTTTGTGATGTGCTGCTTCATCAGCTGGAGAGCCAGCAGGACAGCCCAAGGGCTTCAGCATCCGGGTTGGGTGGCGCTGACCTGCGAGGACGAGATTCGGCTTGCAGCCGCGCTGGCGTTGGGCTATGTTCCAGCCTAAGCCGCACGCTGTAAACTGCAGCTGTGGCTCGGTCGCATGCGCTTTGAGTTGCGGTGCTTTCTGAGGCAACCGTGGGTGCTATGGGCACACTTCTAAAGGTCGTGATTGACAATGTGCAGCAGGCATCACTCTTTTCCTCCGAGTCCCAGCACTTAGTCGAGACAATTGAAAGTTGAACCGCAAGTGATTCTATGTTGCAGCTAGGCTGGGGCAGAAGCACAAAAGAAACAGTGCCCGACCGGATGACAGGAAACGTTTTGCCTGCACCGCTAGCTTTGCAAACACGGGAGGTCGACAGGAGAGCTGTTTTGGGTTGTTTCCCATGTTTCCTTCCTGTTACGGTCCAGATCGGGCTGGCGGTAGAGGTACTTGCTGCTGACATCCCTGCGAGAAGTCATTGCAATCGGCGTTGCCGAGAGGCCAGGGCAGGTTGCAAAGAAACGTGGGGTTCGGGAGCAAGTCACAAGCATTACTGATCATCGGCACCTGGATTAAATAACAAGGCAGTCGGTTCAGCCTCGTTTAACCTTCTGTGGAGTCCCAAACCCCCTCTGGTTTCAGCCAGAATTTTAGATCAGCAAGGCCGTAGCGATGCAACAACTGAGGCATAGCCGAGACTTAGGGCGAGCAAGTTCTGGAGTTTTCTCCGAGCTTTGATCCCGGCTTCAAGAGAGACTCAACCTCACGTTTTCGACTGACAGCACAATGAAATGCAGCAGCGTAACGCTGCGGCACCGGCAGCAACGACAACATCAGGTCGCACCAGCAGCAGTGGAATTTCGAACTTCAGCAAGGCACCTGTGACCTGCGAGAAACCAACCAGAATCTGTGATCCTTCAGCTATTGAACTCCAGATTTGTGGGGGGAGTGCCGTGTGCACATGAGTCGCAAAGGAAGCAGACCGACAATTCAATGCCCGGGGGCATGATGGTTCACGGGCTTTTGGCATCTTTTCAGAGAAGATGCGAAGAGCATCGCATCTTGAGACCACGAGTAAGCTTTCCACTGGGAAGCATTTGGCATCTGATTTGGCGTCCGAGAAGTGAAGCTTTGCTTGTCGGAGAACTAAGCTGACTTCACCAGCGATACGAAAACAAAGGCAACCTCGCCATCCAAAGCTCTCGGATTAAACAGAGCACGGATGGGGTCTCGCACGGCTACAGGCATGGATCCCGTACACTGGCGGAGCATCTCAAGCCGCACGTTCCACGGGTCCTGTCGGAGCCCAAACCCGTGGTGAGAGTTGTGAAGCGTCAGCCTGTCTTCGAGTTCAGCTCAGTCCAAACTAAGACCAATCCTGCAGCAGTATGCCGACTCACAGGAGGCGCCTCTGAAGCCCACGTGAGAAAAGCGATGAGATTTGAGCATTTGTCTTTGCCAGGAGAGCATGCGGAATGTTGTGTCCGAGTCACTCGGACACCTGCTCACAGTCGACCAGGCCTACATGCCATGCCGTGCCAAGTGGTGCTTGTTCCGCGAAGCTGCTTTACCGCGTTTGCACCCACCGGGCGGGTTGGTGTAGGGATGCAGGAGTGATTGCACCATCTTTTTGTCTAGAAGCGGATGCTCAAAGGGCGACAAGATGAGAGAAACCGTCCACCAGCAATGCGGGAGGAGAGCAAGAGCAATAATGTATGCTTGACATCACATGGTAATTTCAATGACGGCAATGCACACCATTTTTTTGGCGGCTTCTACAAGCCCGGACTCGCATGGCAGAGTCCTGCGATCTATTTGTAGCAGCTTGACCCTTCTCATCTGATGCGCTAACTCTGCCCGGGTTGGCTGACGGCATGGGGTGTGTTGAATATTCCTTAGTGTGCGGGCCCGGGCCCATGCCCGTCCATGTTATTTCTTGCAACGTCGTGCATGTTAGGCTGAAGTCGTTGAAGCTTGCAGGACGCTGTTATGCAAGCCTTGACTGTGCTTCTCTCCAACAGAGACAGGCGTGGACAGTAACAGGGGACACAAACAGGTGAGACATGACATACACGTGACCGGTCCGAAATGAGCAGGGAGAGCTGGAGGACGAGGGCCGCGGCTGTTGCTGCCGTGCGTTTTGCCGCAGCAAAGCAATGCCAGGTTCGTCATCCATAGCGAAGGCATGCAAAGGCCTTGTTGCTGGCAAGCCGCTGTTCAGGCTTCCGCGGTCTTGCCACTGAAGGCCCGGAGGCCATCCAAGTGCAAGAGTGCTGGGATGTTTTCCACCATGAAGGAAGCACTGCTGACCTGCCTGGGCGATGAGGAGTTGCAGGTTGGGCGGAGCAGACTTTCTTTCACCTAGTGGGGACGCAGCCATGCTTTCGCAACCACGAGGTGAGAAAGGCAGCGCTACACTCGGTGAACGTGGTGTGCGTCTCCCCTACCTGCTCGGAGATCCTGAGGGACCGGCCCGACCGGCCATCTGATTTTCATCCATTCGGATAATACCATGGCTCTTCCCAGCGTAGGACAGCACTGATCTCATCCTCGAGCGAATCAAAGAGGACTCCAAGCAGAAGTGTATACCTCAGCGAGTCCGTTGACCTCGGCTCTTCCAGTAAAAAAAGCCTCCAAAACCAAAATATTCCAAGCCCAAGCAGTCCCCATATGATCCCATATGGCTTGCACGAGCAAGGCCAGAGCTCATCAGAGAGGTGGATCTAGGACCGTTTAAGCACAAGGTGCGCAGCAACTGGCCTGATGTTGTGTGGGTTCCGGCAAGAGATCCCGACCGTTTCACGCAGGTAGATGATGGGTTGCCTTTGCGGAAGTTTGCGTACACCGTCCCTTGCCAAGCCTGCTCAGCCACCGCATGCTGGATTGACTTTAGGCTGGTGCTTCGCTGAAGGTTTGCTCTAGTTCGCTTTACAATCATCTGCCATGTCATTTGCCGAGGTGTGCTGTTCACTGCTTGCAGCCTATCCTGAGCAGATCGCTTCACCAGCGCTCATAGATTTGGTGCTGCAAGGCGCGGCCGACATCTGAAGTTGAGCTTCAGCATCGATGGCCTCATGCGTTCCAAAACTGTTTGTCTGCGAAAGCTCAGGGATGGCCGACAATGAAGACATCCAGGTCATCTGCTGTCAGTAGTGCCGACATGTTTGATATTTCGAGACATGTATTAAAGCTCTGTGCAACTGGTCACGGCGCACAAGCTTGGTAAGCATTGTCCCAGGCTGCTCCAGGACCTTTGTTCCTGGAACTTTGCTCTTTACCGCATTGTCGGCCGCGTCGGCGATCTGGTCGAGCCGTGCGCAAACTCAGCCAAAACATATTGGGGAGTCATGGCCATGACTGTGGACATTCAAAGCATGACCTGCCTTCTCCCTGCGCAGATTCGACCGGTGTATTGTGCGGTGGATCAAGCAAGTGCAGGCGAAGCAGCAGGTTGGCAGGAGCCTTAAAGCGTTTGCGCTACATGACCCGTGACCCCCGGCAAAGGTTTCCGATCGTTGCTTGATCTAGTCTCAGTCCATCGTCACAGACACAACAGATCGGCAGAACTTTTTGGCAGCACAGGCAGAGGCAGACTGACTGACAGACAGACAGACAGACAGACAGACAGAGACAGACACAGACAGACACAGACAGACACAGACAGACACAGACAGACACAGACAGACACAGACAGACACAGACAAACACACACAGGCACAGACAGACAGACAGACAGACAGACAGACTGACTGACTGACTGACTGACTGACTGATTGACTGGAAGACTGGAAGGCTGGCAGGCTGACACAAGCAGGACTGATAGACTGACAGACTGGCTGGCTGGCGGGCGGCTGTCTGGCTGACTCACTAGACTAGACTGACAGACTGACAGACTGCTCGCGTGAGACAGACAGACGGACTTTGTGTTAGTGTTGGTTGGGGGGATGAGGGTCAGGCAGAAAGCTCACAAGAACTTGCGCAGTCTCCTGCATGGGTTGTTACGGAGCAATTGTGCGCACGTCTCATTCGAAAGTCTTTGCTGCAACCTGTACTTTGAACTACTTGTGCCCAAGCCCCAATGCGTGGACCTTCCCGAACCTGCAGGGTAAGCCTCTTGGCCACATGGTTCGCCCTCATACCCCCAGCAAGCAAGCACAAAGCAAGCGAGCAAGCACGCGAGACAGACAGACGGACACACGGACACATTCTGAGAAGCTGGTCGCACTCATGGTGGGCGACATGAAACAGCAGGATGTTGATGATGGCGATGAAAACAAATATGAGATTAACAATTTGGTACCATGTATGCCAGACCAGAGGGATGGCACACAAAACAAACCCAAGATGAGATGATCCGTGAGGGTATGGGTCCCACCGAGCGAAATACACAGCACGAAATGGGATGGAGATGAACATGAAGATTGGTGCCCCGCCAGCTCCCCCTCCGGACTCAGGCGAAGGCGATGCAGGTACGTTTTTGGTCTGGGGTGTAGGGGAAAGCCTCGTTGGATGGAGCTCCCCTGCAAGATGTAAAATGGCATGATAAGGGGCGTGACCCCCTCAAACCCAGACAGAGACACAGACAGAGACAGAGAGACACACACACACACAAGCACACAGAGACAGAGACAGAGACAGAGACACGCACGGCCGTAGCCATTTTGGCTCAAGTCTCTCACCCTTGTGGGAACCCCGGCTGTCAACCGGGGGGACCTGGTGGGGGGCTTGAGGCCACCTCCCGCGACATTCGGCTCACAAAGGCCCCTTCAGGGATTTACGCCAAGCCCCGCCTTGAAACTGGCCCTTGGGGGACCCACCCCCGTGGGGAGCCGGCTGTTCCCCGGCGACCCTGGTGGAGAACCCAGGGTGGCCCAGGAGTAGGGGTGGGCAACGATGCCACGCCACGGAGGAACAAGAGGTGCTCCCGCAGACCCTCGGCCCAAAGAAGTACATGACCGAAGAGTTGAAGGACCAGACGCAGCTCGACCAGCACGTGACCGTGGACCCCAACATAGAGACGCCGTCCTACCACAACGCTGGGAGGGGGGCACCAACAAGGTCACGGACGAGCTTTTGGCAAGGACACCGAGAATGCGAAGTACGCCTGGAGAACAGGAAGATGGTGGGGGAGGGACACCCACCAAACACAGCCAAGCCGGAGCCACAGCAATCAAAAAGCAACAAGTCCTCTTTGTACACAA